ACAGTAATTTAACACAAATAGCAATTTTTTAAACAGGGTGTTTCTTTAAGCCAATTTGAAAGTGCCAAAACTTCTAAGAGCTGAGATGGGCACTGACAGCTTCTCTCTGCTTAAGGATTGATAGGCTTTGTACAAGGACTGGCTGAAAACTACTGCCCAAGTAAAGCAATTTTATCTTTCTAATTCTCATTCACACCAAAGGTACTAAAGTAAAATGAAGATAAAAGCTTCTTGAGAGGGGCGCCTGGGTGGCTCATTCATTAAGCATCTGCCTTCAGCTCAGGTCATGATCCCAGGGTCCTGGGATGGAGCCCCTCATGGGCTCCCTGCTCAGTGGGAAGCCTGCTTCCCCCTCTCCCACTCCCCCTGCTTGTGTTCCTGCTCTTGCTCTCTCTCTCTCTCTGTCAAATAAATAAATAATAAATAAATAAAAAGCTGCTTGAGAACAGGCATTGCAAATGATATTTTAAGATTTCTAAAAAAATATCACTTAAAAGTACGTGTACCTTTTTTTGTAATTTCCCAAAACTATCACAAATTATTATATAATTGGCTTAATCCCATACTTTAGAGAAAATAGAAATCAAGAGGATAACAATGTCAACCTATTTATTAATTCAACAAACATCTGATAGTGTACGTGTGCCAGGCTATGAGGTGGGCACTTTCAAGGAACTAATTCTAATAAGGATAGGCAGACACAAAAAAAGATAGTATTACAACATGAAGTATGATGATAACTACACACACAGTAGTACCTAACACACACTGGATTATATTTACAGTCACCTTTCATAACACAGTCACACTAACAAAACAAAATGCATTCACTACGAAAAAAAGTTTAATGCCATGTTTGCTTTCTATTAAATGAAAAAAGCCCTGTAAAAATCTTACTTGGACCTCAAACAACGTAGGTATTTTGGGCCCCAAAACTGAAATGCCAATTTTTAAAAGGGGTATAAACATTCCCTTAAAAGAAGCATTCCCATGAAGGGAAAAATACATTATCTTGATGTCAAAAAAAAAAAAAGAGGGATCAGAAAAAATAATGAAGTCCTGTCAATCACAAAAATAAAAAGTTGGTACATAATATAATTCTAACTTCTTGGTATAGGTTTCTTTACTATCCTGATCCCTTGGCCCTAAAATAGATCCTTGGATATCTTCATAATAGTTGACATACCAATGACAGAAAGTTGCTCAGTGGACTCTCTCACTTAGGTTATCAAACAAATAAAACTCAAAAAAGGCACAGCATTTTCCATCTCCAACAAAGACAAGTTTTACTTATAATTGCACCATCATAAACCAAATTGTATTAACTATAATAAATTTCTCAAGTAAATTAAAAGATGTTCCAGTCAGAGTAAAAAAGCTGTCCCTATGATCACACTGGCGTAATTCTCTTAAGGGCCAAAAAAGGTCAAAAAACAAAACAAAAAGCTTACATGTCTCTATATATTGGCTTCAAAAAAGGTGCATGTAAAAAAAAGGTGCCTAATAAAGGCAGGGTGTATGGGTGTTGGGTGTGTGTTGGGGGAGGAAGGGAGCACACTTGTCCTTTGTCACAGGAATCTATTTCCCTTTAAAAAGTAAACAAAAAGCCATTTTTTCTTATGAAAAACTGATGCACTTTGCAATCAGCTTCAGGACAGTGACAAGTGAGGGGATAATAACAGAAACATAATGTATACAAAACATTAAAAAAAACAAATTAACTTGTATTCACTTTATATTCTCAAAGCCATTTAAGAAAAGGTGCTCATACCAAACACACTAGCAAATGCAATTAGCAAAGAGACCTACTTCTATTAATTCAATTACATTATATCCTTGGGAGTACAGCTTTTATTACAAAACACATAAATTGGATAGAGTTAAGAAAAAGGAATCACCTTCTGCCTCATTGAATATACATGCATTTTGAATATATATTCTGCCTAAGAGAGAGTTAAGCTTCAAAAGTACAGAATGAATGTTGACTAAATGACCTAGGATACAAGCTATCATTTCCATTATTACGTTACAGAGCTGGTGACACCTCCTGGGTGAGGAGAAAAATAATGGAAGGACAACTGATTATAAATACCCTGTCCTTCTCTCAGCACTATTAATTCAAAGGGCCAGTGTACAACTGCAAAATCTTTCTTCCTAAAGAACAGATTAATTACTTCAACTTAAGTAAATAAAACCTGTTTGTTACAGAGATTGATTACGGTCAACAACGCTCCAGAAAAAAAATCCTAAAATTGTAATAAACTTATACAGCAAGTCCTCTCAATACAAACAGCCATATAATTTTTGAAACAAAGCATTTGTAGACAAGATTTCTCCTCTGCAAAAAAATTTTGAAGTGTAAGAAAACCAAAGATATAAGGTATTTTCAATATTGAATCATAATAAATAGAAATAAACAGTAACATGGAAAAATGTTAACTAGTGAAGCAAGTTTTCATTTAAAATATTTTTTCGCCCACATTTTTAAGGGAGAGGGAAAGAAAACTGAGGTCAGAAAGAAAATTTATTACCCCCCCCCCCCAAAGACCGTGAGAAAATGAAAATGCGTTTCTCAAATCAGGAATGCAGAATGTAATCTAACATGTTTGCTCACTTTTTCTGAGCCACACACTAATTTTTCAAGTATTCACAAAAGATTTAGGCTAGCTTTACTTATAAACCATACCATGCATTCTTAATTTTCCCATCAGCAGCTTTAATCTCCCTATGCCTAAAAAATGAAAACTCAAAATCTGATTTTAAAATCCCTAGTTCTTTCCTTTCCTTTCCCCCATCTGAAATTTTTAAGTCTAAATGATTTCATTTGTGGCCTTCTCAATTCTAATTGCAATACTTTTATAAAAACATAATTTGCATTCAAGTACTGTTGTTGCATGAGTTTCATTTTCATGACAAAGAAAGTTTTTTTTAAAATAAAAAACTTGTAGTAACTACTCTTTCCCATGGATGGTCCCAGGATTCAGTTTGGAAACCTCTCTCCAGAGAGCAGTTTCAGACTTTAAGACCTTGGTTTTATGTGTAATCATCTCTACCTTCAACGAAAGATTCTTAAGTATTGGAAACAACTGAAATTACGTCCTTTATGTGAGTGGTCCAACCTAGAAAGCGCTCACAACTTAAAAGAACAACTGTGAAGACACTTAGAAGATAGTCTGGCAATTCCTACCTACTCCCCTCTCCAGACAAAAAAATAAATCCAAAAACCAAAAGAATGTCCAAAGTCAAAATATAAGCTAAAGATTAACTTGGCATGGAATTAAAATGCTCAATCTAAAACAGTCAAGCTTTAATCAACTAAGAAAATCTAGCACACGTAAATCCCAAATTTGTAACTAGCCAAATAAAAGTTCTCAGACTGACAAATTTTTTGAAACTTACTTTAAAAAAATTTTTTAATAGAATTCCTAATCATTCAAAATTTCTAATTATCAGGAAATACATCTACTGTTAAGTCCAGTACCTTGACTAAATTAGTCGTCAACATAAAATTTACAGCTTTATCTAAATTGAAAAAATTTTTCCGCCAATCACATGGAAAAGAAACATATAATTCCTAACCACAAACAGAAATCATGATTAATTTGTTTTGGACAATGACAGGCCACAAAGGGGCAAAGCAAGTTGCCAAATTTTCAGAATTAAATCATCTGGCCCCAAAAAACGTGATGCATTTCAAAAACGGTATTTTTCTTAAGTCAAATTAAGTTTATAATAAGGCTAACAATTAGAGGAAGCAGCTTATTCCACACTAAGGAATAGCCCCTTTTCCTGCATGTTTGTACTGGTCTGATAAAAAAAACAATCAAACTTCCTAGTCATTATGCTGTCCATTTTAAACATCCCAGCTACCACACAGAAACAATCTTTACTTAGGCTGGGGAGTTGAAAAGGCTAAAACTGAAGATAGACCAAGATAACGGATGGAGTAAACCACATTAAAAGAAAAAAAAAATTATTTAGAATGTATCATCCTCAGCTAGTGGTCTCCAAGTTTTAAAATGCAAATAGTTGCAATTTCCAACTACAGAGAAATGAACAAAAAACCTTTGTTAGAGATAATGACATAAGTGGAATTCTAGATTTGGAAGATTACAAATTATTGAAGCCAACATTAGAAACTTTTTAACAGAGAACTCCAAATTATCAGAGATTTTTAGATCAACATAAAAGCAAAGTGAGAAGCCTTTCAGAACTAATCAGAGAAACTCAAATTATGTATGTTTTTAAATAGGATACACACAAAGTGAAAATACTTCCAATTTTTTTATAACCTCCTGTCATTTCATTGAACATTTTAATTCAAAGAATGCAACTTTATTTAACCCTAAATATTGTGAGAACACATTTTCATTTTAACGTCTACGAAGGATTCCTTCTAAACAACTGTACTTAAGAAAAATAACCTTAAAAGAAATTTTTATAAATACTAAAACTTTTAATTTTACCAAAATATACCAAGGCAGAAAAAGCATATTATTTTTGAAATGTAATAAAATTGTTCCCATAATGTTAAAGAATGTGCTCTCGGTGTTTGTAAATATATTTTCTATTATAAATACAATAAGTCCACGAAATGACACATAAAATGACTTACTGTGATTTAAATTTCAACTAAATTTAATACAGATCAGCTTATGAGTATGTTACACATTTTGCTCCAAACATTTCTCATGTTTAAAAAAAATAACTGGCGCCCCTTAGCGCTCACATTTGGAAATACTCAATTTAAGAGTTCCAGCAATTTTTTTTTTTGACATTCCAGAAAGTTTTCTGCCTCCACAATCTTTCAAATGCCAACAAAAATAGAAAAAGCAGAACCCCTTAAAGGGACAGCTCAAGTTTTTTTCTGGAGCAATATGAAATTAACAGATTTGCTGTTTCAACAGTGGAAAAAGCCCATTCCAATAAACCCTTATTGCTGTTATGTTTAACAAATGTAAGCAAAAGCGAGGACGCAGTAATACCCAACAGTTTCGTACTTTTAAAGTTGTTCCTATGACTTTCTTGACAACAAAAGCTCCTGGGATTCTTCTTTAACCATCTTTAATCACGGAGACATTTCCGGTCTTTTGTTCTTTAGTGACATTCCAACTCTCTAAGCTTTAGATTTTTTCCCCAGTTCTACATTAAAGATCTCGAAATTCCTGTGAAAAATCTAAAATCCACTGTCAATTCTGTAAGACACAGTTTTCGGCTTCTTTTTAACAGTCCTCCGGCATTGCCTCTAAAAGAAAATTAACTCCTGGCTACTCGATTTTCCAAACAGACTTTTTTGTTGGTCGTTTTTTTCCTCTCTGGGCGTTCACAGAAATGCATAGCTACTAGAATTTAATAGCCCAGTGCATTGCTACAAGAACTTGTTAAATCCCAGAGTTGGCCAAAATTAATCTTCTTGTCATTCCTCGCAACCCTCAGCTCTCCACCAACAAAGCTTTTTTGCAAACTTTTACTCGTTTTTATTTTCGCCCTTTCAAAGTCTTGATTTCCTGTCCTACAACGTAAGGCAGCGGCGTCCTCGGGAAAAAGCTCTCCGCCGAAGTTCTCTCAAACTCGGGACTACGTTTAGATTTGTCCTCGCGGTATTTCGTAT